AGAAGAACACATCTGTTTCAACAAAAATGAAAATAGACTATGTCAACTAGGTCAATGATACAGATTATCATACAAAAATAAGCCCAGAAGAATGAGGAACCAAAACTCTCTGATAGCATACAATGCAATAGCCATTGTTTAACTATGAAGTCGAAGCGTCACTAAAGAATAACGGTCATCATATCAATTGAGGTGGGCCAACAATTTTAGTGGATAATTTTAAGATGACCGATATGTATCAGCTGCAGGTGAAAATCAGAAACTTCTAGACAAAAATCTAAATCCAAAGCAGCATAGTGCTGCAACAGCTAAAAATACAAAAATATAAAAGGGCAACAAAGATACAGAAACCAGGAAACCACATAACTATGAGATGAACACAAATTCGTTACACAAGTACAAATCTGAACTTGCTGAACTTTTTATGATATGGTTCTTCCCAACATGAAAAAAGCGGATGGATGCCAGACACACACATGGTTCTCATCGAACAGTGCAATAAATTACAAAAAGCATGGTAATATCATGTAGAACTGAATAAACAACATTTTGATACATGCCTTTTAAAATTGTCAGTTTTGGAAATGCCACCAGCTTGGCAATCCACCTGAGTCATCCTACCCACTTTCTTGATCCTACTGCCTGGCATTCCTACCATGACCTAAATCTAATGACCAACAAATATTGTAATTCCAAATGTCGATACATAATAACTGCTGAACAAGTTTCGATTTTAGGTCATTGGAGGGTGGGCCTTAGTACAACGGTAAGATCGCTCTTTTGCGACCTAGGAGACTAGTGTTCGTACCATGGAAATAGTTTCTAAATAAATAATTAGAGATAAGACCGTGTATATCGACTTTCCTTAAACTCCTTATTGGTGAAAGCGTCATGGACTAGTACAGTCAGCTACTTAGGTAATTTGAAAAATGTACTCAATAGCATTCACAATTCTCAGTCATCAATAACCCAAAAATGCCCCAAAATATTACACAATGCCCAGAAATTGATGATCGGATTTACTCGAATTTATGTTAAATAATCCTCGCCCCAAAAAATCACAGAGTAATAACAGTGCTCAATGCCATTTATTCACATCTGTGTTGAAGTTTACAAATAGATCGCAACTGCATACAGAGTAAAAACGATTGAAGACAGAAATCTGCTGGACCAATGTCCCAATAGAGAAAAAAACCCATGAAATTAGAGATTAAAGATAGATGAGAGTAAACAACATGTAGAGGAGATAAAAGGGCAATAAGCCCAACCAAATCTTCTTCTCTTCAACTTAAAGTTATGTATAGTGTTCAAAATTTGTCTGTTAGACTGCCGAACATCCTCACCGTGTAAAGCCTTAACCAACTCTTTTTCTAACTCAATCTAAAAATCCAATGATGGCTTCAAAAGAAAGTAAACCAGCCAGCCAAAGGTTGTCATATTTGATAGCAGTATGTCAGTTAGAGCTTCTGGTATTCCTTTCAGTCTAACAAACCAATCTAATGTGATCTAAGTGTTGTGCATTTGTGAAACTAACAATGCTTTATGAATCTTTGAGTGTTGGGCAGTTAAGAAACAGCATATGCAAAAAGCTTGGATTATCAAAATGAGAATGTTGAGATAGATGTATGAAGTTACTAGGAAAGATAGGAAAAGAAATACTTTTATTTGTGAACAACTAGGTATCGTTTTGATAAAGGATAAAATGAGAGAAAATCGTTTAATATGATATAGGTCTATGCCTAGGAGACCTCCGGATGTTGTAATCAAAAGAGGTAAAATAATTAATATAGTGTTATGAGAAGAGGTAGAAGAAGACATAAAAAGACCTTAATAAAAACAAAAAATAAAGATTTAAGTACTTTGAACTTAACTAAATATATGACTCTTTACCGATCTAAACGGTAACAAAAGATCCATATAGCCGACCCCAAATAGTTGGGACTTACGGCTTTGTTGTTGTTGCTGTAGAGCAATCCAATGTCTTAATTGAAGAATAACTAAAACTAATACTTAAACTTGAAAAAGATGATAGCAATACTAAGAAGCTTATGACTTTACCCAAAAGTCTCTCATAAATGTGCTAATTAAAAAAACTAGGAAGGTAAATAAATGTTGTACCTAACGGCTTGGCCTATCTCTATGAATCATGGATCCTCGACCAACTTTCACAACAATAGAGCCACCTCTATATCCTTTTCAGCACGTTCATGAAAGTCTTCTCCAATAAGTTGTACTTTCTAAGTTGAATACAAGATATTCACCTTAATCTTTTTCTCTAAGTTACACATCTCCAAAATCCAATCAATCTCAAGCACAAATCATTTGACCATTCACTAATACTTTTTGTCCAAAGTTTCCTGTCACACTTCAAACTAAAAGCTTGGGCAATATCTTCCAAATAATTGCATCTTCTTAGCCACCTTTCTAGTTGATTCTCAGATCGAATCCTACTATAGATCTCAGTTCTGATTAAGCTCATATCAGCACTATGCAGATGCAAAAGGTTCAGCGGAGGCATTGATCAGCACATCATCATTAAGCAATCAACTTTAACAATTTAGACAATGTATTAATATAAACCCACAACAGATATTCTTCCAATTTGTCTAGATGAGCTATGTTGAAACTGATGTGTAATACTTTTGCAATGATCAACGTTATGTCTACTCTGTAATATGCACTACAACACAGACAACTTAAAGAGCTAATTAAGCAACTCTACCACAAAAATATCCAACTGAAAACTCAATTAATATGCAACATTGAATAAGATCGCTTCCAAATATGCAATGGAAGGATCCATATAGCCGACTCTGTCGAGTGACTGCATTTGACAGCATGCCAATTGACTTATTCTGCACTATTTCCTAAAGATCTGCAAGACTTTAGCAGTAAACCATCCAAGCCCGAGCATACAACTAAAAATAATTGGAAGTATATATAGAGATAGGTAGGATAGAGATGAAATGATCACCTGGAAGGATCACCGTGAGCTGCCAACCACGGCTCAACTGATGACGCCCCCAAGGAATCGGCAATCTGCGACTTGCTAATGTCCCCACCGCCACCTCCCTTTGCGCGCCCCATCGACTTAATGCAGCCAGCCAGATTCGCTTGCTTCCCCAACCAATACAGCACCTTCAGCCCATCCTCGAAAGCCGCAGGGTACCGGCTCTCCGGCGCCAGCCTATACCCGACGGCGATCACGATCACATCCAACAGCTTGGCGACTCTCCTGCAGAAGAAATCGTTGGCCGCCGACGTATTGCTCCCGGAGACGAACCCGCCCCCGTGGAACTGCAGGACCACAGGCAGTTTCCGAGGCCCGGCCGACCGGCGACGCGCGTCGGCCACGGAGGGGAGGTATCCCCCGTAGGCACCGCCGTTGTCGCGGGGGGCGCGGTCGAGGGAGGAGTCTGGGAGGAAGAGGCGGAGGGAGAGGGAGGTGAGGGGGTCAACGTGGATGTCCTTGGTGGCGACGCCGTCGGGGCCGAAGGACGGGTTGGCGGGAACGGCGGACTCGTCGGGGCGGGAGGTGATGCCGAAGGGGCTGGTCGCGCCCTCAATCGCCGCCTGGTGGAGCAATTGGAGCTTGTGCTTGAGGAGGATCTTGAAGATGATGCTGTAGAGTTTCACGGCCACGCTCGGCATCGCTGCTACCTACCCAGCGATCTCTTCCGATGCTGATGTTCGCATCGGTCGATCGATTAGGGATCGAGGGAGGGAGAGAGAGAGAGAGAGAGAGAGAGAGAGAGAGAGAGAGAGAGAGAGAGAGCGAGAGAGAAAGAGGGAGAGCCGGCAATGGCTGTGAATATTACTGGAGGAGGAAGACGGGCGGAAAGGGCGAAGGAAGGAAGGAAGGAAGGAAGGGGAAATGGAAAGCGTTACGGCACTTTAACATTTCTTTTAAATATTATTTTAAAGAGAAAAATCAGATGAAAAAGTCTTTTGGTCAAAATAAAAGAAAATTGATTTAAATAAAATATTTTTTGGAAAAGAAAAAAAGATCAATTTTCATTTTCATAAATATTTTTTTTTTTAAAAGGAGCAAATTTTGTCTTATCTTTTGTTATGATAAGAAAAATGAGAAGATTAAGATCTGTATGAAAATAATGTATTATAGTCTTTAATTATATGGAAATCAATGTTTTACATGCATTCCTTTGTCATGTGAGATATTATGCTCCAAACTTTATATGCTGCATTATCAATGAACAAGAAATCATTTTTAACATATCACTAATTTCTCCCTAAATAAAAAATGAAAAAGTATTTTGTATGCCAAATTTATAAGACACAATCTCCTAATTATTATTTTTCCCCCTTTTCTGATTCAGTAATTGCATCAAGTGGTAATTTCATTGCTACAATTTTTCAGGTAGACAAATACTAATCAGATATTGTTTATATTAATCGGAACAAATACTACGTTGAATAGAATCATTCAACTAGGTTGAATTTAAAGGTTCAAACCCCCTACGTCGGTCCAACATGGCCAGCTTGACCTCCTTAATGATGTTATCAACAAGGCCTTGAATCTTGATGCTCAGTACAGTTCAAAAACAAAAACAAGAATTGAAATCATCCTCCACAACTTTGAAGTTGTAAGTTCCATGATTTATGTTTTTGTTTTTCCCTATCTTCAGCAACAAGTCCAGTGGCAACAACTTTGAAGTTAGCATATGGGTCAACATGAGCATGCCCTTTAAAGTCAACTTGTTTCTAGAAACATATTTTTTCTAGAAACTATAAAGTATGCAACAAAATTGCTTACACTCTGTGCCTTCACATCAATAAGCCATGAGGTCAAACTTGGCCAATTCCGACTGATAAACTCAAGAGTAGTTGACTTTTTCTGGTGGACAAAGTCGGGTGATTCGTTTACCAATTTAGATAGATATCATGGAGCTAACCAGTCAATGGAATACCATGAGATCACAGAAGCTGTACGCGTAAACTCAATTGCCACAGGAGACTCAACAATAACTCAACTCAGCAAATTTGCCATGAAAAATATCACAATTAAATTATAACAAATTCTTTGTAAGTTGTCAAGGATACAAAAGTTTAGAATCATTGCTCACTATTCAGATACAAGAATACAAAAATGTGGCCCGATCTAAAAGATTCAGGCACAAAAACTTCGCAGCTACTGTTCATGTCTGATGCTGGTCATCCTCATCACTACCGCTTTCGTCTTCTCCGTACACCATTTCATCGATTTCTTCATCTTCGTCATCGTCTTCTTCGGCATCAACATTATCTTCATCTTCATCTAGCATTTTGTCACCTTCACCATGACGCTCATCCATGGATGCTTTCATTCCAGCAGCTTTATCGATCTGAAACAGAATCAACCATGTTAGCAGAACCTAACAGTTCGCATAGTTTATATAATGAGTACGGTACCACCTACCTGTGTCATGATCAGTTGAAATCTACCAGATAGCTTTAATAAAGGTTCGATAGCCGCACATTTCAATTTTATCATCTGCCACAGAAAATACAATACCATGTAAGACGACAACGGACAACCAACAGATGACAATGTGATTTGAGTATAGCTTTGCAGTTTATAGTAAGGTGATTACATAAATGAAGATGCTATAAGATTTTCAAGTTCAAATTTAAAATAATCTGATTTAAAATAAAAAAAATAAAAGGAAAAATGACAGAATTATGAATGCATATAAACAATTTACAACCTAAGAGGTATACCACATAGGCTTGTATGCAAGGAACAAATCAACAGGAAAACAATATGCAAGATTGCATCTGGGTATACCTTGTGTAGACCGTCAAGCATTTGGACTGATGAATCTTGAGATATGATAAATTGACCATGGTTGACTAGAATGTAATATATCCACGGAAAAATATGCTTGGAACTGACTGAACTGTTGAAGAAAAATTAAGTTGTTTATTAGGCATCAGCATTGCGATACAATTTAATCCAGTGATACAATTCTACAAGCAGCAGTGCGACAGAAATATTGAAAAAGGTTAGACTATAAGCTGGGGTGGATGCTGACAGACTAGCAGAAGTCAGTTATAGATGATGTAGATGACACTTTCTCGGATTAAGGAACAAATCAGTTGGCACTTGACAGTGATTGCAGCCTAAGTAGACAAATCAGTTGGCACTTGACAGTGATTGCAGCCTAAGTAGTTGGCATGGAAACAATAATAGCACCTTCAGAAGTGTGTACCATACAGGAATATTTCTTGAGGTACTAATTCTGTTTTCTACGATTGATTTATGATAACTGTTGTGTTTAAAGTTTCCCAAATTTAGATCGACTGGTTGTACAATTAGATTAATAGAAGTCATAATATCTATCCGAAGTACATAAATTAGATTTTATTGCTGGTTAAAATTATGAAGCTAGTGGATTGTGTGACTGATGCTGGAGGCTCTGGAATGTGGGGCAATTCTAGCATATTTTTACAGCCCGACCCAACCAGAATCCAACCAAAAATCTCTCTAAGTTTCCTTTTCAAGTACCTGTAACCAGGATCATGATTTAGTGATATTACCACAAGTAACTTCTCAAATAGTCATCTAAATACTTTTAGGCATTTGATGAGACTCATCAAAGTTACCAATTTTTGGTGCCATATAATTCCTGTGAAATTCTGAGAAGATCTAACAGTGTTAATAAGGATCAAACTTAGCCACCATAAACCCAAGATTAATGACAAGACACCACCTCAAGGCAACCAACTATATTGAGTGATAAGGCCATCACCAGGACCAGAAAGGGGGGCCAGCCTATTTAGAACCAAGAATGAACCTCCAGTTTATATGACATGTTATGTGCGGACTTGCCTTTGGAGTTGAGTCCAACTAAAGGGTAAAATAATAATCTTCAATATCATTTGTTTTAGGGTTTTAAGAGAAGGATAGGACTCACACAACCTGATGTTCTACTGTTTCTTTTGCTGTCTCCACTGAATGGGAGGTTAGGGGAGGGCAGAAGATCATGCCAAAGCCAAGAGAGAGCACAAGATCGAGCCCCAAGCTAGAAAAGAGAATTCTAAGAGGTCATGGAAGCTCTATCTATATGCAGTATTTTTTACCTCAATAAAGCAGCACACCAGTCAATTTGCCACATTGCATAGCATGGACACTAGCACATAGTGTTCCAGAGACTTGTTGGCATGGGAAGTTGTCATCAAAATTTAAATCCTACCTAGAAATATCTGTTATTCTGAATTCTTAATTGTCATGATGCAAAAACAAGGCCCACAATAAAAGGGTGACAACTAAGATGAAGTTAGGCTATCAGGAAATTTTCTAAATGATAAAATAATGTATATTGTTAATCAATGGAAAACAGGACTTGGGACTGAAGCACAACTATTGTGCATGTGACTATGCAAAGGTTTCTTGACATATATAATATAGTAAAAAGGCAAGAAAGCAATTTTACTCCATAGTTTAACCTCTATATTGCAATATAACCCAAAAACTATGAAGCTACCCAGCCCTAACAGTCCTAGCCCAGCTTTTCAGGGTAAAATAAATTCGACCAAGATTTCAGTTGGGGTTTAGTTTGTCAAATTTTGTTGAGTCATTAATAAAGAAAGCTGGTAATGGTTAACCCTTAATCTAATCCAACCCACCTTGGTTGCATGCTGTTCAGGAGCTCAACTGACCGCCCGTCCCATCCAACTTAACTAAAAGGGATTTAGTGACCGAAGCTCTCATAAGGGTTCGCTCTGGTATGTAGAAGGTAAAAGGGCAAACATGACAAGGCACATTCTCCATATAGCTTAGAGGAGGTATGATATTTAAATCAATCAATACTGAACTCAATATTTTTTCCTTATATGGTTAGGATTGCATATGCGTAGACATTGATATTAGAACAATAATCTTAAGAGAGTTACAAAACCACCCCATTTCTCAATCCATATTTAGAAATGTTCATAAGAATTTAAAACAAACATAACTCAGGGACAACTGCCTAGTAATTACAAATCATTTTATGGATGGGAAATCACCGAATCTGATTCTTGGAATAGAACCCCCAAATTCAAGCATCAAAAATACAAGAATAAAGTCATTAACGGTTGCTATAAAGTCATTAACAGTTATTATATAAGTAAAAGTTTTCATACCTTTTTTTCAAAGCAGATATGAGGACTTCCAGAGATTTGCAAGCATCAATGGAGCTCATGGATAAGATATGCGCCCTTATCTACTCATATGAGAAAGACACAATCAGCTTTTACAGCTAGATAATCTCAATACAGCATACACGGCTATTTTTTATCAATAATTTACTTGTTAAATCTTATGACTAACCATATTAGAGACACAAACCTTCTTAGGAGGCATATTTACATCAACTGATATTTTCCCCCCACTATATATATCCAGAACAGTATTAGTAGGACTACTGGCATGATCTTTTGTCCTGAGATCAACCTTTTCGGTGACAATCCCCAATGCCTTTAGTCTATCCTCTATGCATATAGTACCATCGTCTTCCATTCTTTGCAGAACCACTGCACCAGTGAACAAATTTAGATTTGGACTTACATTTGAAAATTTGATTTTGGAAGTTAAATGCAAAAGCCAACCAACATGAGAGCTTGACTATAACCAAACAAAGCATTTAATCTCATTTCATAAGATGTTAATGGAATCATAATTCATATTAAAAATTAGTACTTCAACCAATATTAAAAATATTAATGAGTCCTGAATTTATGCATTTAAAGAAAAAGTAATGTATTGATAAAAAGAGACAAAAGGTCAAACTTCTATGTTTCTATCATTGCCGAGCAAATGACTATGAAGTTCCATGGAAAAATGAAGAGAAAACAAAGAGAAGCTTTATCTTGGTTTTTTCTTCCAATGAGAGACTTTGAACAAGAGGCATCTGATGAATTGAATTCAATGTGCTGAAAATCTGATCCAGACTACAAACAAAATAAAATAATTTTATGTTATTCAATGCTTTCTTTGCTTTTAACCTCTAGCTCAACTTGCTTTCTTCCATTATTAATAAAAAAATTTGCCAGGAAGAACATAAACTTCTATCCAAAAAATAAAGAAAGAAGGTTCGCTATGTTCGAAGTGATGCCTCTATATTGTGTTTCTTCAATTGGAAGAAGTGAAACAACCTCCAAAACAATAAGCTGGTAAATAAAATTCTAGTTGAAGTGTTATGATTGCATAGATGAATAAAGAGAACATCCAACCATAAAACTTATGGGCATACAAGCATGTTTATTTATAAGACTATTATGTAATGATGTGGCCCACCTTCCTTAAACTCTGGACTACATATGATATTGCAAGCCGAGCCAACCTTTCTTGGGCCTAAATCAAGCTTTCCAAATATGGCTTTCCAATAGTCATAAATGTCTATCATTAAGGAGTGCTCACTGAACATGGCCCACACCTTTTCCACCACACAATTGCTAGACACGACTCTTATATCACATTGAGTCAGCTACAAACACCGGTCCATCTCATCAATATCAAGCCCTACTAGTGCTGTCTCATGCATTGACCATGACTCGCTCAGAAGCTACGTCTCTCATGACATATGCAAAAGATCCACAGAACTTGGATATCATTCTCAAGTCAGATAGGGAGTTTAGCAGCTCCCTAATAACTCACTGATGAGGGACTGCAATGAAAAAATAGAACACCGACAGCATGAGAAAATATACGCCAAGACTGCTCCGTCACAAGGAGTTTTTGTTTCTATAATGTTTTAGCTAGTAATTTGGGAATAGTTACTAGAATACTATAAATAACAGGCCTCTATCAGTCCTAAAACATGTTAGACAATCTTTTATTTTTCTGTAACTCTACAGTAAAAAAATTCTGTAGGGGCTTCTATTATTCCTTGAAATGAAGTAGCATCTAGTGTCATTCCTAATAACCATGTTACGTAAGAACTAATTAGCCTTATGTAGAAATATAAGGTTGATAGCCAGAATGATAACTTTGTATAACATTTATGAAGCAACTGCATATCCAATCACAATATCATGCAAGCCACAGATGTCAGATATGATGTTGCATCTTGTTCTATATATTCTCAAACTGATGGCAGGACAATATTCAACTACATCAAACTCCATATGCAATGTTTTATACACCTTTGCCGTATTGTCACGGCCTTAGCTGGAATTGCCTAAGGCGTGAGGCACCCTTACGGCCAAAGACGCGAACTTAGCTTGCGTTGCCTAAGTCGTGAGTCACCCTTGCGGCAAAGACGCGAACTTAGCTTGCGTTGCCTAAGTCGCGCTTCGCCCTTGCGATATTACTCCGCAAGAATCAGCCCACTTGTAACCTCTCGCAGGTCCCGAAGGACCTGTAAAAGAGAAAGTTGGTTAGTTTGAAAGAACGAGCAATTGACAAGTCCCGAAATCTCACGAAAAGGGGAAGCTTTACAAGCAATTCAGCGAGCACCTTGCATGCACAAGAGAAAAGAGGGAGAGGGAGAAAACAAGGCTTTAGAAGGATGAACGAACAGCTGCAAGCCCACAAACAGCCGCTCACCTGGTCCCGGGCGCGAAGACAAGTTCCCGTAAAGACCACGTGCGAACTTACGAAAGAGAGTTCAACGCCCGGTATATAACCGAAGCCCCATCCAGCCCTGTGCCACCCGGGGGGTTCAAAGGGGCTGAGATGGCTGACGTTTTGGTGAGCGGAGGCAGATTACCGCAACCCTCCCGTGGCACGCGAAAACGGAGCTGTTTTGGGCTGTTTTGGGGCTGTTTTGCTCGGTTCGGTGAGCGATCGCTTTGCAACGCTGCAGCTTGTTCGAACTTACATTTTTACAAGCAAAATGACCCAAAACCAAGAGAAAACATGCTGTCAAGCAGCTGTACATGCAGGTGTGAGCGACGAACGGTTCGTTGAACAGAGTTGTTGCGGGTGCGCGACGACCGTTCGTGACATTCTCCCCCACTTAAACTGTCGACGCCCTCGTCGACGCTTGTTGGTAGTTGTTGATGACTTCTTCTTCATGTCGCAGGGCGTCTTCAGGCTCCCAACTGGCTTCAGTTCGGGGAAGCTTTCGCCACTTCACCAAGTACTCTGTCTGCTCAGCTCCGTTGGGTAGCTTTATCTTGCGGTCCGCCAGAATGGTTTCCACTCGCTTCTCGTAGGAGGCTGTGATGGGAGGTAGCCGAGTTGGAACATTTCAGGAAGCATCTCGCGGATCCGAGTGGTAGGCTTTTAGGTTGCTGGCATGAAGAACGTTGTGAATTTTGAACCACGCCGGCAGCTGCAACTTGTAAGAGACGTTGCCTACCCTGCTAATAATTGGGAAGGGCCCTTCATACTTGCGCACCAATCCTTTGTGGACTCTGTTCCTAAAGAATTGGAGTGATGCTGGTTGAAGCTTTACCAACACCAAATCGCCAACTTTGAACTCTTGCGGTCGCCTTCCCAAGTCTGCCCACTTCTTCATCCTTTTTGCCGCCTTCTCCAAGTAAGCTCGCGCAATATCTGCATTTCGATGCCACTCCTTTGCGAAATGATAGGCTGATGGACTACTCCCAATATACCCAATTGCCATGGTGTGCGGAGTCGACGGTTGTTGTCCTGTGATAATCTCGAAGGGGCTCTTGTTAGATGCAGAGCTCCGCTGCAAGTTGTAGGAGAATTGGGCAATGTCCAACAGCTTCACCCAATCTCGTTGATTGGCACTCACGTAGTGCCGGAGATATTGCTCCAAGAGCGAGTTTATCCTTTCAGTCTGGCCATCCGTCTGAGGGTGGAGGCTTGTAGAGAAGTATAACTTCGACCCCAACAATTTGAACAGCTCGGTCCAGAATCGTCCTAGGAACCGAGCGTCTCGATCGCTAATGATATTGTGCGGGACTCCCCAATACTTCACTACATTCTTCATCATTAGCTTGGCCGCCTCCTCTGCTGAACAGTGTAGGGGAGCATCAATGAAAGTTGCATACTTTGAAAACCGATCGACCACCACGAGTATCGATCCGAGTCCCCCTACAAGTGGCAAGCTTGATATGAAATCCAAGGAAATGCTCTCCCACGGCCTTTCTGGTACGGGCAATGGCTCCAAAAGTCCCACCGGCTTCCGCTGCTCCACCTTGTCTTGTTGGCAAGTAAGGCATGTTCGAACATATTCCTCCACATCAATCCCCATCTTCGGCCAGTAGAAGGCCCTCTCCACGAGAGCCAACGTTCTGTGAATGCTTGGGTGTCCAGCCCAAAGGGAATCGTGACACTCTTTTAAGAGCTCACGCCTTAAATTGTCCACTCGGGGAACATAAACCCTATTCCCTTTTGTGTAAACAAGTCCCTCTTGGACCCAAAATCGTCGTGCCTTGCCTTCTTTGATGAG